GGTAATACTTTGTGGAGAACTGGGATTCATGCGCCGACATGTGGGTGATGTTGCACCGAGTTGATCTGCCACACTTCAACAATCATACAAATAATCGTGTTGAGAGCTTGTTCGGAAAGATCAAGCAGAACGTCAAGTCCCACATATCGATGCATAGCTCTCGAGAAGTGCTTTTGGCAATTTAACGTCGGGTGGAGGAAGAATATCGTGCTCACGTGGAGATGCCTCGTACTTTACTAGATACAAGCTACTCGGAGGAGATGAATATAGTGCTGGGGATGACTACTCGTTGTGTGGCTTCGGCGATTGAGGGTGAATACAAAGTGGCGGTGGCTAAAGAATACCAGGATCGATATACTTTTGAAGACGATGGGGTATCGGTGAGAGTACGAAGCCAATTCCGAGAGTACCTCTTGCAAAAGGAGGGATGGAGTTCTGATTGCGAAACCCTTGCCCAGACCATGAAGCTAGCCTACCGACACGCGATGGCATTCAAGAAGGACATCGGAAGTGCGTTTATCATTCCATTTTCAGCGATTCAACCGAGGTAAGTCCAGGTTTGTCCAGGTTTTTTAACAGGTTTCATCCAGGTATTGTCCAGGGTTTGGACTATACTCCAGATATTACCCAGATTTCTAACAAGTACCAACGTTTTTGGTTTTCGTTGTTTGTGCAGATGGTTTGGCCAGAGCCGAATTTGCATTGAAGATATCGCAGAGCTCGCGACTCCATTCGTGGCAAAGATCTTCAAGACAGAGACGGATGACTCGGAACGTCCTCTCAGCGAAAAAGAAAAGTACCGGTGCGCTCAACAATCATTTGGAAGAATTCGTGGGGAGCTATCACGGTTTCCTGTTGACGTGTTTGAAGCGCTATGTCTCAGTTTGACACCTGGTGGCACGACATGCGTCACGGCAATGTTAGCATGACCAATAAAAAAAAAGACACTAGTGACGGCAAGAAGGATGATAATGAGGACGGTTCGGGTGCTGCTGGTGGATCTGTTGGTGGAAGTACGCCTTCGCCTAAAGCGGGGGTTAACGAAGGACTACAGGATTACTAATTCAGCATACAGTGTCCGATTACCAGTCCACTCATTCAAGTTTCGTAAAAATGTGGTGTAATGATGAGTACATTTACGTTTTGGCTAGTAAGGTCTCTTCCGTTGTCCCACTTTCCAACTCGATCCCTAACAGTCAGCCGATTCTGGCCACAACCTCTTGAACAGCTAATGCTCCTTAGTTCCAACATTTTCGTGCTGGTATTGGTGTGTTTCGTACACAGTGTTAACTCGACCATCACTGACCAAACAACTCTTGAAGAAAGAAATCCGTCAATAAAAGGTAAATGGCTATGGGATCTTTATCCTATGCAACTTGGAAAAGGTACTGATATAGTCTGGTGCAAAATTATAGACGCACACTGATGTTGATACATACTGAGCAACTAAAGTCGTTTTCAATCAAAAGGAAATATTTGATGTTTTTAAAATACTAGAAACTAATAGACGACAGCATTTTTCAAAAAGCTAAATGGATTTTGAACTAAGCGAATAACACACTTATGCAGCTGGTGCAAAACTATAGACGCACCAAACATTTCGGCACTTAGTAGTCGATCGGGGCTCCGCGGCG